AAAAGAGAGATATTCATACTCTGTGATGGTTGAACAGAGAGATATCACAGTCCGTTTGGAGCGGTGTGTACCGGTGTGTGAGTGTGTGTGTAAACACCTGGGACGTGGTGCTACCCAACATGTACGTCGGTGGACAGCAAAGAGCAAGAGCTTCCCCCCAAAGTCGCCCCCCTTTTCCTTCATCCTTTCAGAAGAACAGTGTCAGATTGACTGAGGCAGCGAGGAAGAGAGACATTCGAGACGTGACATGAGTCGTGACATGTCAAGGCTGCTTGCTCTCTCCAGACCCATGTACCACGCTATCCATGGACGTGTTTTTTGTAATAGTTGACAAAACCCACTTGCTTGTGTATTGATGGTCGAAACCCCCCCCCTCCCCGTTTCCTCTGGCTTGTGCTCTTTTTTCTGTGGGCGAGCCGTTGAGACATTGAGACATGTTGGAGTTCGAGGGTCAACGGCACTGTCCAACAGCATAACTGTTTTGTACAGCTTGTCCCTGTTGTGCCACGGAATGGAAGGTGAACTAGAAGAGACCTGAATAACAGATTTTCACCTGCAGAAGTCAGAAGGGAGCAGTCGAGAAGAGGGATCTGAGATGCCCACAGTGTGGGGCTCCTTACGAAAGATCCTGGAGCCCAGCCCATCCCGAGCCATGGCACGAGAGCCGTGATTGCGATGGGTGGCGAGGACACAGGCACGGACCGGCACGGAGTCATGGGGACCATGGGGAGCGGCGCATGGGAGTCATGGGAGTGCGATAGGGCCAGTCGAAAACATGTTCGCTCGGAGAGAGATGGAGAGAGGACCCCTCCGCGCGCTCTCCAAGGGAGCCCAGTCCTCCCAGTCTCAGGCGGGACCGAAAGCGCGAGATGCAAAGTTAAAGACAGAAAAGAAGCTCAGAGCCAACACAAAGCAAGTGTTGGCAATTGGCATTTCGAAGGGGGCTCAGAAATGAGAAGGACGGTCTCTAAGAATGAAGAGACCCTCTCTCTCTCCAGAGGAGCCGCCGCCTTCCCCTGGTTCCCTGGGCACGCCAAGCTCACCGGCGGGCAAGGGCCGTCTCCGCTTGGGCAGCTGCACAGGAGGCGCTCGCTAATTGATGCTCCCAGCCAGAGGCACAGGCGGCACAGCCATGAAAATACCAAATAAAACCCAGCCTCGGATGTCAAGGAAAGACAACAAAAGACATCCGAGTTTTTGGCTCTTTCGCTCTTTAATGCGGGTTCTTGTGCTCCCACGCGAGGCTCTCGGCGAGACTCCTCCTTCCCGGCCACGCCCCTCAGCTCGCTGGACCGCTTCTCCCGCTCCCGAATCTCAGACCCCCTGCGCATATGGCTCTGTTTTCTCCAGGGGGGAGGGAGGGAGGGGCAGGGGAGGGAGGGAGGGGGAAGGGGAAGAAGAACAACAACAACAACAACAACAACAACAAGAACAACAAGAACAAGAAGAACAAGAAGAAGAAGAACAAGAACAAGAACAAGAAGAACAAGAAGAAGAAGAACAAGAAGAACAAGAAGAACAAGAACAAGAAGAACAAGAAGAACAAGAAGAACAAGAAGAACAAGAAGAACAAGAAGAACAAGAAGAACAAGAACAAGAACAAGAACAACAGCAGCCGCAGCAGCAAAACAAGGTCACGATCTCGTAACGGATCGTGGGCCTTCTTGTCCTGAGACGAATCACCGGCAGGCGTGGCAAATGGCAAATGAAGTGGTGAAGGAAACAACAGTATAAAGTCTGTGTAACCAATTGGGTACACAGAGAGCTCCTAAGTTCTGTCTCTGCAGGAGGATGCCGCAGCCAAGCGGCAGCGGCGGCTGGAGATGTTGGCCAAGGCAAAGCGCAAGACCTGAGCAAGACCTGAGCAAGACCTGAGCAAGACAGAAATGAGAGCAATCTGCAAAAAAAAAGCGGGGGGGGGTGCTTTCGGGGCTCTCTCTCTCTCTCTCTTTCTTCCATATGCCCTCTTCTCTCGAATAATTAATGCGTAACTCTTTTGGAGGCTCAGCAGGCAAGAGCCCTGCAGCTGGCGAGGCAGCAGGAGATCCGCATCGGCGAGGCCGGGGCCTCGCCGAAAAAGAAGCAAAACGCCTGACTTTTGAGGCTCCAAAATTTCTCCAAAATTTCTCTCCAACTCTTCCCTTTCTTCCCTTTCTTATTCCTTTTCCGCCGGGGGGGGGGGGGGTTGGGAGTAAGGGGGCTGGGCTTCGTTTCTTTCCTGCAGGAGTGGAGCGAGCTGCTCAAGGTGCCCTCGAACAGGACGCCCGACACGCCCCTCGGAAAGCGAGAGAAGGAGTGCCTTAAGATTGCGAAAATATTTTTCGAGACCAGATCGCGTCTCTTAAGTTCCAGCGTGTTCCAGCGTGTTCCAGCGTGTTCCAGCTTCCAGCGCGCCGAGGATGTTGAACTTCTGGGAGGAAGTCAAGGCAGTTTCGACAGACTCCCCTTCGTTCCTCCGAGAGCGAGAGCCCAGAGAGAGAGAGAGAGAAGTAGAGACAGACAGCGAAACAGCGAGAGAGGCCCGGCTCCTGAAGCGCTTCGGCAGCCTCCACTCCGCCATCCAGAGCTCCGGCCCAGCACTCAGCACTCAGCACTCAGCTTTCGCATCCTCTCGTAAATATTGCGAAAAGCCACACCGCTCAATTCAACTTACATAGCTTGCACACTTCATACGCATGCCCTCGCATTCTCGCTCGCTCTCTCTCCCTCTCTCTTGTCTCTCTTCGCTAGGCGAGTCCTCGGTGAGCTTCATTAAGTTCTGCGACCTCCTCCGGCCGCGGGAGCTCGATAAACAACACCAGAAACCAGTGACGGGAATGGAAAAAAAGAGAGAGAGGGAGAGGGAGAGCTGGGCCCCCCAAAAGCCCCGAAGAAGAAGAAGAAGAAGAAGAAGAAGAGGAAGAGAGAAAGCTCAAGAGATTCTCCCAGCCGGATGAAAGAAACCGAGTGGGCGCGTTGCAACGTGCAATATGCCGATTTCAGAGATCATGGAAATCTGAGGGTGATCCACTTCCCTCTGAACCAGAGCACCTGCCGGCACCTCTTTAGCCAGGCGCCGACTTGCAGCTCTAGCACGTTCTAGTTCAAGGGTTCTGGGAGAGAACAGGTAGCAGCAAGGCACAAGCTATTACAAGCCGCAAGAAAATCTGATAAAACGCACCTGTGACAGAGATGGAAAGTATGTTAATTTTGTCTCTGTGCGACCCGCCTCGGCCGGGGCCTGCGCGGCGGCCGAGGTGCAGTTGTTTTCGAAAGGACACTCAGGCCGAGGTAGAGACCAGGCTCACAGATGGAGCACCCCAGTCAATGAATGTTTCGACGTCAGGAACCCTAAACTGCCCGAGATGCTGCGATGTGTCACTCGCGTCCATGACAAGTCCAGCTTAATTTTAAGCGGACGCAGTACATGCAAGGATGGCGCCGGAAGGGTTAAGGAAGCAGGGGTTGGGGGCGGGGGCCGGGGAGGTTGGGGGCACCGGCCTGGCCGTGCTGGGGAGGGAGTTCGAGGCAGGGTACGTTTTGCGCTACCCAGATACCTATGGCCCGAGGCCTCGGCGAAATGTTCCATGCGTCCCCAGCCGAACGATTCAGCAACGCTTCCTATTCTTGAGTTTGTCTCCATCGACGAACAGTATTCGAGAGCTTCGCTGAGCTTAGCAGACCCCTTTTCTGTTTTTTGTTGCGCTGAGAACTGGGAACCGTGCAGGTTTGTGCAGGACATCGGGAAATGCCCGTGGACTCCTTCAAAGCCCTTCTGATGGAGAGGAGCGCTCCTTTTTGGAGAGGTACCGGAACGAATGGAGTGGAAAAGTTGAGAGCAGCCACCAAGAGTGTCTTTCGAAAGGACCATCCAGTCCATGCGCTTTGTCATGGAGGGCTGGAACGGCAAGCAGGTCGCGCCAGAGCGCCAGCGCAGCCGTCGCGCTGAGCCTGTGCAACTGTCAAACCTTTTGTCAGGTTCGCCTGCAGTCCCACATCCGCACCTTCATCAGGCATCACGGGAGGAGTATCTTGTTGATGTCATAGCGCGCTTTGCAGAGTGAGCGGCCTATCCTCTCGTCTCACTTTGCGCCCACGCCCTCTTTTGGTAAATCGCGGTGCTTCTCTTCTCTCTTCTCTCGACTTCTCTGAGGCGCCTGGCCGAGGTGGACGCCGGGCGCCGGGCCTTGGCCGTGGACCGGCTCCAGCGGAAGCTCCAGGCAAGCGCACAGCTCGCACCAGAGCGAAGCTTCGGCATCGCGAAGCATGGGCCGAGCGAGGAATGAGGAGTGCGGGAAACTTCCGTGGGAGGAGAGAGGGAATTCTGAGTGAATGCCGCGCTCGAGCCCGCGTTCTGGTACCCCAAACCGCATGGATCCCGCATTTTGGAACTGGAATCCGCAGAGGCCAAAAGCATGCTGCACTGCTGCACGCAAATTTTGCGTGAGAGGGGTCGGGGTAATGCGGGGGACCTAGGACCACACACTTCGTGCGAATGAGCAGCGATTTTTGAATTGGCCGCTAAGTCGCGCGAAATCCCTGCCCGGTTGAATTCTTCCTGTTTCTTCCCGTGGTTCTTCTGTGTTCTCCCGTCTTGCTCTTTCAGGGCCCGTTCCTGCGAGACTTTTGGCGGCTGCTGCTGAAAAGGCTCGGGAGGCTCGGGCCAGTTGTCACGCTTGGTGAACCTTGCTGCACGGAGAGATTGAGTATCTACTTCTTAGGATCTATGTCTCGACGTCCTCTGTTGACACCCGCCTCACTTGCGGGCCTTCCATGATGCTTCCATGATGCTTCCATGCCTCTCGCAGTTCACGGTCCGAAGACCTCACGGTCACACAATCCTCGCTGCTCCGTGTGCTCGTGGACCCCGAGGTTCGGGCGCTGTGCTTTCTTTTGGTCAGAGAGAGGAGCAAAAAGAGTGAGAGAGAGAGGGGGATCGGGGAAGAGAAAACGGCCGAGTTCCGCTGCTGCTGCCCACTGCTTGTTGCCCGCACCCCTCCCCCCCATGTGCTGAGGCCACA